GTATGGATTTATTGACCACTTGTATACACCGCTCGGAACTACACTTTACAGATCCCTGACACACACACAGACTAGTGTCCTCAGACTAATACAGTCTCCACTAGCCGTTTCCAGGCAATGGATTTTACCAGGGAGATTCTTCTGCTTCCCCCACTTAGGTCCTCTTGTCGCACTCACCCATGCAGAACTCTTTATCAACTGACAACTAAGCTGACTGGGTCTCAGGCTGGCACACCAACCTATCAGTCTTCACATCACAGGCTGACTTTCCACTCAACTGAACTGTCTCACCAACCAGCTACTTCATGTCACTTCACTCAACCGAACTGTCTCACCAACCACTTCATGTCGCTCCACTCCACTCAACTGACAACTGAACTGTCTCACCAACCAGCTACTTCATGTCACTCCACTCAACTGAACTGACAACTGAACTGTCTCACCAACCAGCTACTTCATGTCACTTCACTCAACTGAACTCCTGACAACTTGAACCAGCAACGGCTTTTTGCTTCAAACTGTCCTGGTTATAACATCTCAGCATGGATCACATAAAAAACCATTCTTCTATTGTTGTGTTGGTATCCATTGCTGTGGAGATATGATTACTGAACCGTTGCTTCGAAACAGGTTGCATAACTCTGTTCTTCTCTTGTTGCATACATGTATGTTGTGGGCGTTACCTAACAGTGGCCACTGTGTACAGAGTCATTGCATAGTGACAGGTGTATTCACCACAATATATGTACACTTGCTTAAGACCTATGTAATAGTGTAAACATGTGAACAGAGATAACATATTTGATAAGGATAGTATATATCACAAACTTAGTACAAAGTTTAACAGTTGACCACGTAAGTGTCATATGGACACAGATGCTGAACAGTATACTGCATGGGCGCACACACTGAATTTACATGGAGTGTCAAGAGAGTCAGTTTTTTACCATGAAAGTTAGATGCAGATGTTCCAGAGACCACAGTTTGATTTATGGCTAAGACAAAAGCTTGCCAAACACAGGAAATACCTTGGACAAGGAAAAGTAAACATATTCTGTCATTAGTAACTTAACTGGCAGTCTATGAATGCTCGTGGGGAGCCCACATAGTTTGACTGATATAGTGTTTGCCACAGAATGCATTAATCACTCATCATATATCTTTTATATATATTTAATCTTCTCAGCTCTTAGAAGTAATTTAGTATTCTGAGTATTGATATAGATAACTTTAATAGCATATTTCTCTCTCTCTCTCTCTCTCTCACACACACACACACACAGACGCATATAAATGCACTGTGCATGGACAGTATAGTATATTATGGGTTTTCTGCTGTGGTTATGAAAAGCGAAGTAATAATTCATATTCACTTTGATATTTCTACTTTGAGAACTGTTAAAGCTAACCTGCTGTGCCAAAACGTGGCATTATGAAATTTTGTATTTTGGCAGGGAGATGATATTGAAACTCCACATATTCTAAGACCTGAACATAAAGAAACAGTTACATTAACGTATGAACCAATTTTCCCCTGATAACTTCCAGTCAATTGGCCAGATACACACTAAAGCAACTATGAATACAAAACACACATGGTGTGAATGCATGGTGAATAATGAATTGGAAAGGACTTGGAAGAAACCAGTTGTGCCTTAACTGAGGTTCTATCTCAGCATTTTCCCAGAGGGATGAGGAAAACCATAAAAAGAAAATCCATCAGGATAGTCAGTGTCCCCGATGTGATTAGAACCAGTCACTCCCCAAATATAACTAAAGATTAAGGCATTACTGCCACACCAGTCCACTCAGTATTATGGGTAAAAAGTAAAAAAAGTAAATGTATCCCAGTAACAGGCCGTGAAGGCCCATAGGGTTGTGAGATGTTGAGGGTCCCACATTATCTAGACATTCGGCTCAAAGATGGTGGTAAGGTTGTCAGCCTTACGCACCAGCAGCAGCTTTACTCCCCAGGAAAATTTTTAATTAATTCCTGGTACTCATTTCTGTTAGAGGCTGAGTCGACCCCAGGGCCATAGTGCGGCTGGAAGGAATAGGTCAATTGAAAAATATCCAGTGACCTCATCGGGACTTGAACCTTTGACTGTCCGGCTTGTAGCATAGTGCCTCAACCAACTACGCTACTGTGTGCCCCCTCAGTACTGTCGGTATAGATGTAAATTTTCTACAGAGTGCTTTAACATCAGTTCACTGTTTCATGAAATGTGACATCAAAATAAATTCCAATTGAGTTACGAAGGTAAAAAGGAAACACAAACAGATGATGAATCAGACATACATGGGTACAATCATGGACAGCAGTTTTCAGGATCCCAGTACTAGAGTGAAGTCACTGTTACAACAAATGTCAGCCCAGATGACTCTGCAGTCCTAGGATAAGGAACACTATACTAATGTAAGACGCTGGTAGCATCACTAGTTTATTCCACAAACATGTCAGCACTGGTTAGAGACCTTCCAGAGTTACTCTTGTCAAGATCTGGTGTAGGATTATTTTTTTTAATTTGCATAGTGGGGGGGGGAGTCCAGTTGGGTCCCCTCAGCATGGCGGCCACTGATCTGGTGTGGGATAGTTCTGGTGCTTGAAACATAGTTACGTGAGGTAGGAAGTTATAATTATTTAAGAATAACCCAAAACTGATAGTGTATAGTCTGAATACTTGCAGTATCATTAAATAACCAACAAAAAAAATTCCAAAATGATTGGGACACTTTAATTGCCTACAGCTAGAAGGTTCTCACTATCTTTTATTCCCTGTCTTGCACCATTATGGACAGTGAGTTGTGACTCATCAGTGAACATTAAAGTAGTTCTATACAGCTACATGAAATGTTTTCATGGAACATTGCATTATAGTGGTTAGGTCTCCTGCTTCACAGTCAGGGAATTCTAAATTGAATCTCAGCAAGGAAGCTGACTATTCTGACAGAGAATTCTCAGAATTTTCCTCAGCCTCACCAGAAAGTTGCTGGGATAATATTAAATTATGCCCTGTCACATCTGTATGAACTCAGTATTGGTTAGTCGCTGGCTTCCCACTGTGGCGGCCCGGGTTCGATCCCGAGTCTGGTCAAGTGGGATTTGTGGTGGACAAAGTGGCGCTGGGGCAGGTTTTATCCAAGTACTTCGGTTTTCCCTGCCAATCTTCATTCCACCAATTGCTCCACAATCACCCTCACCTATCATCTGGGGCTGGTACAATAGGCCAGAGGTGGCCACAAGTACAAGGGACTTAGTCCCATCCCACTAGTGATAAGAAATAACTCAGTATTTATCACTGCTGTTATGCATCAGGAAATAATTCCATAACAGAGTGCTTCCGCCCTCATTTTCTGCAAAACCCTTTGTTAATCTACTGAACTTACATAATCATATAGTTCTGAGTTTTTCTTTCAAGTTTATATATATATATATATATTCATTCATTCATCAGTAATCAATATTCATCACAGGTCCACAGTCTCTTCCAAAACAGTTCCTCCACTTAATGCGATCTCAAACNAACTTGAACCATCTCGAGCATCATTTGCTCTGTGCTTCAAGTCGCTGCTGATGATGCTGCTTCCGGCATCAGTTTTTGGTTTTTGGTGTCTCTCTTCGTCTGATGCCTACCCTTTGACCTGTCCAGCAAGGGAGGCCCTGCCAGTAGGTATGCTACCGCTGGTATAGCTCTCAGGGTCCTTGGCATACTCAAACCCCCTCACCATGATAAGGTGGAGATACCAACCCCCAACGAGGGGGTATATATATTCATTTCATCAGTAATCTGTCAGACGACAGGTCCACAGTCTCTTCCAAAACAGTTCCTCCACTTAATGCAATCTTCTGTTTTTGGAAAGAGACTATCCAGGAAAAGTGATAATGTGGTAGTTTTTCCATTTGCTTTCCACATCGCAGTACATCGCATGGAGAAATTAAAGCTGTCCTTTGCATGCTAAAGTTTTGTGAAAGAAATAATTAACTCTAAAATATTGGAAGATACTGTTAGAGTATCTGATACAGAAGCTTACAATAGCATCTTGACTGTTGAAATTCTGTGATTCATTGAACTTTACACATTTTTAGCGTACTTTCCTTATTTTGAAGATGATAAAAGTAGGTTTATGAGATCATCACGCTGTCCCTATGTCTGTGTGTCCCCCCTATCAAGTTTTGAATGGCTGCAACATTCTCTATGAAACTTGGTATGTATATCATGGCACCTGAGCCCATCTCAGCTGGTTACTTCTTAAATCCCTCATTTCAGTGTGTGCGGCTGTATGGGTATCCTACCATTGTTGCTAGGTAACAGCTCTGTAAAAATTTTACCATAACAAGGAATACACACAGAACAATAGAAGAATTGTTGGTCCCATCATTTTCTATTCAGTCTTTGTCATTTCAAAGGAAAGTAAGCAGTTAGTTCTTCCCAGAACTTCTTGTTAAATTTAAAAGGAAAGGATGCTGATATGGCGGGTACTGCTGCAAAATTAAATTTGTCATTAATGGAAAGTAAATAGGCCACATAATTTGGTGCGTTTTCAGTGTTCCAGATTTGTATTCTATAAACAAAAGATGTGTGCTTTTCTACTGCAACACAAAATATGATACCCATATATTAATGGCATTGATGTGCCTCCCATCCTAGAAGTGTGCATGATCTCCATATCTGTATTATTGACAGGAAATTAAGAACCGTAGGATCGAATGTGTTGGAGCAGGTAAACGCTCTGCTTAATATCAGGAGGTTTGGGGTTCAAATCTTGGCAAAAAAAACGAGCTATGCTGACTTTTTGTAGTTTTTCTTATTCCCTTAAGGGGAATTCCTTGATATTAATTCAAACTAGGCTTTTTTCCCACATCTTTCAATGCCATCTGGTCAGAGCTAATGGCATTGTAGGTAAATAAGCATAATTATTTGAACTTAAGTTAAGATTTTGGCATCCAGTCATGTTCTTTCTGTTTTAAAGCTGGAAATTTGGATGTCTGCATGTTTCAGGTCACGGCTGGTGAGCCATGCGTACAGCCTGTACTTTCAAGAACAAACCTACTATAGAGTATCAAATCTCGATGGACGCATTGAAAACGCAGATCATCGTCTGACTGATGACATCACTGCATTCACATCATCTGTAGCCCATCTGTACTCTCACATCACAAAGCCCCTTTTCGACTGTCTCCTAATAGCTATTGCATTGGCGAGGACAAACCAGAAAATGGGTGCAGCTATCATACCTGGTAAGCAAATGTTGCCCCTCTTTAATATATCCCAGTATATAAATTTCCTGTGTTTATACATCTGATGGATGGTCATTTAACCCACCAAATGGTATTCTTGAGTTCAAACTGACTCATATTGACAAATATTCAGTTTGGGAATCAGTCATTGTGTAATTTCCTAGTGGTAGAAATCCAACTATGATTGGCCTTCAGTATCCCAGAACTCATTCACGCTGCAGTCACAGCTCTTTTACGTCAATGGCAGCAGTGAAACTTGGCAAGCACTAGTACAGGGTGTTTTTAAATGTGGAGTTCTCTTTTGCTCCTAATTACATGTCTCATCAAGTATCACATAACTTCTACAGTTTATACAGAGTCCTTAAGTAACAAACAGATTAACATAATTTGTAGACATGTGCATTTTATATGAGTCACTGAAAATTTTTCCTGCACCACACTCATAAGAGAATAAGGTGATTATTTAAATGTGTCTTGGAATTTTATCTATGAGACATGGACAGTTAGGACAAGGGTCTCCAAACTACGGAGGACCACATCCGGCCCGCGATGTGATTTTATCCGGCCCGCGATGTGATTTTATCCGGCCCGCGAAAGAATTGTGCAGAAATGCGCCAATTGAACCAATTTTCCAATGAATACTGGTAAATGTGATTCTGAGCTTATTGACCTGACATATTATACTGCAGTTCGATGGCTTAGCTGTGGAAAGGTTCTTTCGTGCTTCTTTCAGCTCAGGAATGAAATTGATATATTTCTTACCGAGAAAAACCATCACGAACCACTTTTATCAGATACCGAGTGGCTTTGGAAATTAGCATTTTTTGCTGATCTGGTGAACCATATGAACCATTTGAATTTAAAGTTGCAGGGTGAAAATAACTTAGTCTGTGATTTATTTGCACTTATCAAGGCATTCAGAGCAAAGTTGATACTTCTGGAAAGCCAAGTGAAAAATTGTAACTTTGTTCATATGCTATACTGTGCAGAGTTGCATAAAAAGGGTGAAGCAGAATTTCCTTCCTCGTTTGCAAATTTAGTCATTTCAGGTTTGAAGGAACAATTTTGGAAGCGATTTGCTGATTCCAGTGCTCAGGAAATTACATTGTTGCAAAATCCGTGTGACTGTGATGCTGCAGATGTCCCAAGTCAAATTCAAATGATCATATTAAAGACAAATACAAGGAAGGAAATTTGATCGAATTTTATAAATTTCTGAACTCTGAGCAATTTCCAAATTTAAAGAAATTTCCTTGTAAATTTATCTCCATTTTTGTGATGACATATCTGTGTGAACGAACTTTTTCCCAGATGAAGTACATCAAGTCGAAATACAGGGCAAATTTATCCAATGAACATTTAAAGTCGCTACTTGTGATTAGCGCTTCAAAATTTGAACCTCAATTTAATCAGATTTTAAGAATGCAAAATGAGATCCATCATTCACATTAATGTTTTATTATAATTTGTGGTGAAAATATGAGCATTTGCTGCTGCTGTCTGTTGTCATTAATATATGAGAATTTATTCTCACGTACTTTGTATTTAGTTTATGAAATTCTGTGCTTTCAATAAAACTCACATACCTAGAGTTATTAATTTCTCATTTTATCCGGCCCGTTGAAAATGCTGAATTACCTAATGTGGCCTGCGGTTCAAAAAGTTTGGAGACCCTGATTTAAGACATAAGGTGTAGTGAGTGGGCAATATTAAAATGGATCTTTGAGAGATAGGATGGGATGGTATGGACTGGATTGGTCTGGCTTGGGATAGGGACCAGTGGAGGGCCTTATGAACATGGTAATGGACCTTTGGGTTCCATAAAATGCTGGGAAATTCTTGAGTAGCTGCAGAATTGGTGGCTCCTCAAGAAGGGCCTATCTCCATGAATAGGTAAGTAAGTATTGTCTTTTAGACTTTTTGACCTACTTTCATTATTTAGAAAATATAAAAGTAGGCATATGAGATCACCTTGCTGTCTGTGTATGCATGCACACGTTTCCCAACAGCTTGTGAATGCCTGTACCGATCTACATGTCTGTCATGCCACCTGAGGCCGTTTCTTTGGTGTACTTCATAAGCTTCTCCATTCACTATTACCAACACTGTAGATTCTGAAATTATTGAGACAATAACCTTATTATCAGTTGAATGTTTGAACCGACCTTCATGAAACTTGATATGTATATCCTGCCACCTGAAGTCATTTCACCAGCATCTTCATAAATCCCTTTTGTTAGTAGTACCAACACTGACTTCATTATGCATACATACTAAAGTGTTTTTCTACTTATATCAAATACACAAATTATAGTGAAATGGAAGTAGGTGTGCTTGCTGAGTAGAAATGTGTCTTACTTCATGTACCTCTTTGCCTTCCCCTTTGTACTGTTTTCAATGACATGAACTGTGGATGCAGGTGTTGTGACGTCTTGCTATGTGAGTATTAAAAACAAAGTCAGTAGTCAAAATTTTACACTGTGTGGGGGCATCAGCATAAAGTGGCTCATGACTTGTATATGTGCTTTGCACAGTCACTAGTGCAAGACCTTGTTTGTTCTGGAGATCATGTGATTCATTGTATGCTTTACTGAAGAAGTATGAATGGTAAACAGTGTGTAGACTGTTGTCATAACATAGATTTTCGTCTTGGCCCTTCCCAGTTTCTTCAAGCTAACTGTGGTAACTACCTGAAAACAGGTAGCAAATGTTTTTGCCTTGTCCAAAATTTGTAACAATTAGGCCATAAGTCTCTATGTATTTCCCTTACTGAGTCCTCCATGATAACATTAACATATTGCATGAAATAATGCAATGTATTTAGAAGGTCCTCTTTTTTTGGTCTTTCCCCATTTGTTATTCATAATTATCCTGTTATTTGGTGCTGTATAATCTGTGCTGTTTTTAAAACATAAGAAGAATGTTGCATTCTTTATTGATTCCATCATGAATGCCTGAAAGACTATACCCAACCAAGTCTTCTATTAAAGATTAAGAATCTTCTGTTTTCTCATCTGTCCAAAAAGGTGAAAAAGGATTATAAATAAAAATATATCTGTACCTTCATAAATATAAGAAAACTGATTTCTTACTTTGCTTATTCATTCACCTTGAAGATTTAGGCAATGTGTTCCTCCAAAGTGACTCTCCCAAACTGCACAGAATTACACCTTGTGTCCAACGTGTAAGAGTAACAGGAAAAGCATTATCTTTTTTATGCTTCTCTGTGCATCACTTTTGTTTTGTAAAGGTTTAATGCTGTGTGATATTATTCATTCATTCACTTTACCACTATACAATTCCTGTCATTATGTTTATACAACATGATTTAGTTGGCCTTCACTCATAATGAGGTCTGTCCATGCCGTACACAAACTTGAGCACTGTACATGTTCATGGCGGTAGAGTTAATATCTAGTTTTGTGTCAGCTATGGGTTAAAATTAAGTTAAAGTTATAATTAAATCAAGATTAAAATTGAAATTGAAATTACAATTGAGTGGCTTCTTGCTGCTCTTCGGATTTTTAGTGCACTTCTATTTTTGAAGAAGGCAGTCTTTTTGGATGTGGTACCATGTAGATATTGTGTTAACCGAGGTTTCGGAGGAACGTATCGCCTCCATCTTCAGAGTAGAAGAAAAAAGAAAATCCGCGAGCGAGGAACCAGCATGAGCAGGTGGTAACAGCCTAATTAGGCTGCTCATGCTGGTTTCTCGCTCGCGGATTTTCTTCTTTTTTCTTCTACTCTGAAGATGGAGGCGATACGTTCCTCTGAAACCTTGGTTAACACAATATCTACAGTGTGCCACATCCCAAAAACTGCCTTCTTCATAGACAACATCATGAAAACCTCAAATCTTACACTTCAGTTTTTGTTGCGGTTGTTTGTCCTTGGTTGTTTTCTGTTGTTCTTAGGCACATTGATGTTTAGTGGTAGATGGCTATAAGTTCTTCTCCAAGAGTAAGGATAAAGATAAGGATCAGGTCCAAATCCTTCCATCACCGAACATCAACAGAAAACACACATGACAAACAATAAAAACAAAAATACCAGGACACTAATGATATGAACATGAACAAGAGGACACTAAATTATAATTCAGTTGTAATTATAATTTAATTTAATTTGAAGTAATAATTGAAACAAGATCTCTAAATGTTAACTGTATTTACTTCAGCAAAATGTTGTGTGGAGAAGCACAGGAACAAAATAACATTGCCACTGTATCACTGCAAGATGCTAGTACATGATTATACAGACAGCTGTTTATTAGCTACTTATTGCTTTGAAATGTATGAATTGTAGGTTTCCCCATTGAAAATGGCTGTTGGTAAGGTTAATACCTGCTTTTTTAAATGGAAATAAAATTTAGCGGGCAAGATAAAATGGTAAGAAAGGCGCACACAAAAAAGATACAATGAATGCAATATGGCAGAAACATTTTCTTGAGTTTAATGAGATTAGAATATATTTATATAGAGCTATATTGTTTAGTATAATATGTTAGTGAAGCATAATGTAATATAATTATCGACCAGGAATCCAAAAATCAAGTGGCTATGAATGCCATTGTATGTTTGGAGGATGTAGTAGGGCATAGTTTTTGAGACAGGGTGTATATAAAGTCATCTGGAATGCAGTGGAAGTTCATGATGGACCTAATGAATGAGATGAATACACAATAAGTAGTTACCACTAGTACCTGACAGAAGCAATGTTAATGTCCCTCACATGTGTTAAGTAATGCTTGATTCAGGTAGTTGGGCTGTGTTCTTTGTCTTACACAATTTTGTATTATTAATGGTTTAAGTTATGGCATATGTCTTTGTATGAAATGTAACAGAATGGTTTGATAATAATGTGCTATAGTTTCTTATGTCTGTTTAGTAGTCTCCCATGAAATGTAGTGGCAGCAAGAGTGGCATAAGTAATTGTAGTTACGGCCTGTAACTGGTTAATAAAACCAATCCGAACGGCATCTTTGGTAGACAAACACGTCA